CTCACTTGCCACATTAGTACAATTACCTCCATCAATGATGACGCTGCATACTTTCCCTTGGACGTGACACCTTGTGTGAAACAAATTCTCCCTTTGCTCATACTGATCCGGTTTAGACTGGACATTCAATGATCTCCTTGCAACCAATAAGTCTCCTGTAGCTGGATTAGCTTCATGCTCTTCTTCTGACGATAAAGAATCAGAAACCACTTCTGCTTTCTCTTCTGACTCTATGTATCCATTCTCCAGAAGAATCATTACCTTCTTGTTTGAGCATTCATTAGCATAGTGTCCTGTTCCATGGCACCTGAAGCACTTGACATCTCGAGCTCTACTAGTAGCAGCCTCAGGTTTTCCTCTAGAAACCTGATTAGCAATAAACGGCTTGGATTCTACCTTGGGAAAGGTCCTTGGTTTCTCTTCTCTGTTGTAACTCGCCCTAAATAATCAAAGACTGAATTAAAACTAAGTTTAAATGACCCTTGAACTTATTTCGGCCAACTATATAGGCGGACTAAATAGTCAAACGATGTAGTTGATCGAGTATAGTAACTTTGTAGGTGATCTATATAGATGATCGGGTATAGTAACTTTGTAGGTGATCTATATAGATGATCGGGTATAATAACTTTGTGATCGATTTGCCTCATTAAAACCTTTCCTGGAAAACCCATTGGGACAAAACCAAGGATAAGGAAAAAGAGTACAAATGATCACAAACCCGTTAGAGCTCTTCTTGGACTTGGATCATCATTAGGACTTCTGGAGTTGAGTCTTCTTCAGTCCAATCCGAGTTCTCTTTGGATGTGAACATTTAGTTAAGTAAACCTCCAATTCGTTGTATGAACTTCTTAGCTCTTGCACGAGTCATCGGTCCTGCTGGTACAACTAAGTCATCATCAGCTTCAAGCTCTGGTTCTAGCTCCGGTTCAAGCTCATTCTCTTTGGTGCCATCCATGATCGCATCAGGATGTTATATCAAACATCGCAGAATTATAATCACTAACATTTTGTAGTCCTGAAACCGGAGATATAACCACTCATGTCTGACTTTTTGTAAAATCACATATTTCTGGTGATCAAACCATTCTTTAAGTAATTGTCAGAGATCTGCATGATCTTCTTTGATGATGTACTCGTCTTTTAAGCCATCATGAATAAGATGACGTACCATGGCTCTTGTCCTTTTCTCATCTGATGTCAGTTTTGACTTATCAATTGTATCAAGAAGCCTGTTTCCTCTTAGATGTAGTTTTGCACCTACTGCATATGTCATACAATGTTTTTCAGTAATATCAAGGGTAGCAATTTCGAGTTTTGCTAGATTTGTCATTTTAACTAAATAATAAAAGCTTAATTCATTTAATTGAGCATAATATTGGTATAATAAAAGACAATTAAAAACAACATAAGGAGGCAGAGCCTACCATACAATTGCAGATTGTATAATAAATAAATAAACAAATATGGATATTTTAACCTCCTATGCAATAAATAAATAAATATGATACGAGGAGACATAGTATACTATGTGATCATTTTGATCATGAAAGCATAGCCTACCATAAAAATCGGCTCGGAAGAGACAGAGCCTACTATTCTGACATAAGAAACAATATAATTATTTGATCATAGAGGCAGCACCTACTATAACTATCAACTCGTACAAAATATAGTCTATCATTCCAGCATAATATATAAACGGAGAAAGTAGAGCCTATTTTTCCGTAGAAAAATAATAATAATTTGAACCTAAATAAATTTTACATTCTGAATGTAAATAAATGTATCACTATATATTAATATAGTGAAGAGATATATAAATATTATGTGAGATTAATATTATATAGATGTTTAGTGTTTTATGTGTACTAGAGGAAGAGAAAGCAATTACGTTAAAAGAAATTAAGGAGAAAAACGTTTTTCTTATTTTTCACATGAATCTATTCTAATATAATAAGGTTTTTTTTTAGACATAAGTTTGATATGCTGTCATGTGGCACTCTAGAAGTTGCTATGTGTCATTCTCTAGAAAGTTTTACTATTCATTGATAAATAGTTTTCTGTTAAAAAATAGTTCTTTTTACTATTTATTGATGAATAGTTTAAGTTTATTTTGTTAATATATAGTTTTACTTTAAAATGTAAAAAATATGATATGATTAAGAAAAAATATGATATCAATAATTTATGATTAAAAAATATATATTTATTCTAATATTTTTTTTTATTTTTTACAATGAGCTTTGAAATGCTGTCATGTAGTACTCAACAATATGTTATTCATATTTAATTATATTATTTATTTTACAATTTATGTAAAACTAAAAAATTTAAAAGTAAATTATCACTAAAAAAGTAACAAACTGTTATCATAATAAAACAAAAAACTTATAAAGTTATTTTTCATCTTTTTTGAATTTAAATATTCTTATAAATCTATTTTAATATAATGAGGTTTTTTTAGAATGAGCGTCGATATGCTACCATGTGGCACTCTAGATATGTGTCATTTTTAAAATTTTTACTATTCATTAAGAAATAGTTTAACTTTTTCTGTTAAAAAAAATCTTTTTACTATTTATTGATAGATAATTTAAATTTTTTTTGTTAATATATAGTTTTACTTGAAAAGGTAAAAAATATGATATGATTAAAAAACAAATATGATATCAATAGTTTATGATTAATGTATTCTAATATTTGTTTTTGTTTTATTATAATGAGCTTCGAAATGCTGTCATGTGGTACTCAACAAATTGATATATATCATTCATATTTAATTATATTCTTTATTTTACAATTTGTATAAAACTGAAAAATTTAAAAGTAATTTATCACTGAAAAAGTAACAGACTGTTATCATAATTAAAAAAATTATAAAGTTTTTTTCATCCTTTTTTTAAATTTAATTTGTTTTATAAATGATATCTCATCTTTTATTTTCTGTACTTATATTCAGTGTTTAATAACACGATTAAAAAATTAGAAATCTAAATATTAATTAAAACATAAAATAATATAAAAACATATGTTATGGAAATATTTTTTTACTACATAAATATAATCTTAAGAAAAAATGACCAACAAACAACCTAAATAATTTAATTTTGCATCCTTTATTGTTTGAATTTAATTTTTTTTATAAATGATGTCTTATCTTTCATTTTCTTTACTTATATTTAGTATTTAATAACACGATTTAAAAAATTAAAAATTTAAATAATAATTAAAATACAAAATAATAAAAGACATATGTGATGGAAATGTTTTTTTTAACTACATAAATATAATCTTAAGAAAAAAAAAGACCAACAAACAAACAAAATAATTTAATTTGTCATCTTCTTCCAATCAAAATACTCTATTCAAGTTTAAAATTTATAGCTACTATTTAAAAACAGAAATCATAATTAGTGGTAAAATATAATTAATCGAAAATCAACAATAATTAATTATGGATCACTAATATCGATATTAAAACCAGACTAAAAAATAATAATTAAAGACATAACAAAAACTGACATAATTAATCAAAAGACTATATTATTTTACCACATCACAAATAACAAATAGAAAATAAAACATTAACAAAAATACTATGACTACACTTAACAAAGATAATAAAAACACTTAAATACTATAAATAAATAAAAAATAAGCTACAAATAGCAAACACCATAGAACATTCAATTAGCAAATCAACATTTTAGTTCTAGCACAAATCCTATGGAAAATATACTATATGCATTATATTACAGGAGAATTCTTTTTATCCTATCAACTGACCATAAACTCTATCTTTAAATTACGGATCCACTCCCTCAACAATAAAAAAAACCAACTACACAAACATAAACTATAAAAGAAAAAGATGGTAACTGTAATATATGTTTTGATAATTTAGAAAGACAAAAAAATATTAATATTTTATTTTGTGATCATAAATTTCACTGTACATATATTTCTGAATTATTATATTATAGAACAACATATCTTTATTATCGAGATGAAATAATATAATACTTTTAATTAGATTCTTAATCTTTTTACATATTATTATTAAACAAACATTATTATGTAACATCAAAATATAACAAATTCGCGCAACGTACGGACCTTTCCTAGTTTCTATATATATAGTGAGATTAAATTCATAACTCATACAAGATGATGATATGTGAGGAGATAATTATAATACAATTTAAAAAAATGAAGACATATGGATTGATGAATAATCATCCTTTTTCATAACAACAGCGTCTTATGTTGGCCGAATCATTTGTGCGACAAAAAGGTTTCAAATTCATAAATATTAATTTACACAGTAAAAAGATTAATAATTATATATTTAGTATTATAATTAAAGTAATGTAATAAAATATAATGTTATTGTTGTTTTAAATTTATAAATATTGTTCGAATCATTTTTTAAATTTGAATATTGTATTGTCAAAAACAATTTTTTTTATTATCTCTTAATAATTATTGTAAGTGTAGAAAAATGATAAATTATGTTTTTAATATCTTAAGTTTTATTTATACTTTTTTTACTTCTATACTTTTAAGTTTTATTTAAAAATATTATAAAATAAAAGAGAATACGGATTCGCTCTTAATATCTTTAAGTTGTATTTAGACATTTTGTACTTTTATACTTTTAATTTATATATTTATAAGTTTTATTTAAAGAATAAAGATATTATAAAATACAAGAGAATACAGATTCTCTCTTAATATCTTTAAGTTTTATTTATACATTTTTGAAGTAGATTTTAGTATCATTGGCCAAATACACTAAGTTATTTTGTGGTGACTCACCAAATTCTCCCCTTTAAAAAAGAGATTGTCTTATATTTTTAAGTTTACATTTAGAACCAAATCTGAAATATGTAATTAGGAAATAAAATTTAAAAAAGTATATTCTAATAAATTTACACCAATTTTGAAACTATTATTTAAACCATAACCACAATTGACAAACAATACAATACCAAAATCTAAATTCTAACGACTGGAGAGAATGACTTCTTCCTCTTCTTGTTTTGTCGTCATTTTCATGTCAATTTTGTTACAATTTCTCTTCGTCTCTGCTTCAACAAAACACATCGACGCCATATGCCAACATGTCACCGACAAAGAGTTCTGCGTCAAATCTTTGACGGCATATCCTCCAGCGGCTTCTGCCACCGACGAGGTACTAATATTCTATTTTGTCTAAACAATTACATAGACTCATAGAGATATATCACTTACTCTGCAGTGGTTTTAGTTTACATTATTATCTTAAGTTGACAAGAAGCTAAAACCATTACGTTCATGTCTCATTCATTCTCAATCATAGTCATATAATTATTTTTTTCTTATTTCAATCCGTAGATAAAAGCGGTTAAGGCCGCACTCGATCTAGCCAGTTCCTACGCCGACAAGTCAAGGAAATTCACCGTGAAAGTGGCAAACGAGAATCCAAACTTGAAGAAGCAATTCATGCAGTGTGCAGATTCCTTCCAATCAATTATAGGGTCTCTCTGGAGCGCTACTAAGGAACTCAAGATAGATCCGATGACTGCAAACTATGATGTCATGGTTTGTTCCGACGAAACGAGGATAGTGAAGTTCTCGATCGGTAAAAATAGAGACGGGGCTTCAAAGACTATCATGAACATGACTATGATGATGGATAAACTTCTTGATATTGCCCGTGGAGCCACCGATGTTCTTTGATAAATGATAAAGGAGGACGATGAGAACATATACTATTATATCAGATTTGCCATTTTTGGTTTACTCTGGTCAAAGGTTGTTGTTATTTCATCTTAGGGCATGCAATGTTTTGAAAACTCTATAAATATGAATTTGTAAATAACCGATTTAAAATATAATAAAAATTAATAAGATAATAATTTTAAAAAAAACATGTAAATATATAGTTCTATTAATATTATAGAATAATAATTACCCTAAAAATGATGTTATACAAAATTATAAATATGTTAATTTACTAAAATATGAGTATATTATTGTTTTTACATTAAAATTGAAATATTTTAACAAGTTATTTACAATTTTAAAATATTTTTTTAGAAAATATTATAATTTATTAATAAATAATTTATTTTATTGAATATTGAAAAATTAATAACTCTATAAACTATTAAATTATTAAAATTCTAATATTATTAATTTATAGAATTTCTACTGTATTTTAGTGAAAATAAAAGATAACTAGCCTAAGTATGGTGTAACTGCAAAAAATTATGCTTTGAAACAAATACTATAGGTGTAAGTGGTACCTTTGAAACAAATATTATAGGTGTAAATACTAACTACAAGTTGTGAAGAATGTAAATCTTGCATCAGTTATGTGGAATTACTGAAAATTCAAGTTGATTAAAAACATGAGCCAAAACAATATTCAGTAAATTTAGAAGAAAAAAATTGTTTGGTTAAACAAAGACTTGCAGAAAATTTGAAGTAAGATAGAGAATATATACATTTTTGGATCTAAACAAGTGGAAGAAAAATATTGAGGCAACCTCACATTTTTAATAATCGCATGACAGATAAATTCCACACCCATTATTGGATAAATTTAGTTGCATAAAAGTATGATTTTGCACAGTTTGTGAGAAGTTTTAAAAAAAGAAAAAAAAATGACATGGCGAGACTGCAGAGGAGAATCGACTCTGTGCGGAGAGTCTGTAAAGACGTTTCTTCTGTACATGACAAAACTCAATTGGTCAATTTTTTTTTTCTAAATCATTTTTTTTTTTAAAATCAAATTTTGTTAATAATAAATTTTTTTAAAGAGCATCTCTCTGAAGCTCTGATAAACTCCACAATCTTCATAGAGGTATGTCATTTGCGGAATCTCTTTCATTACAGCTCACTCACGCCGTCACGCGCGGTCGCTTTATGATTATCCATATTCTTCAAAACGCTTTCTTCCATTTTTCTCTCCTCTCAGTGTGAATATACTTTCAAACTCAAAACAGCTTCTCTTCTGTTCTGACTAAGAGAAATATATTTTAGGGTTCACACAACGGAACTACACTCGACATCAACGGTGAGAACAACACTATTTTCATGGAAGGTTTTCCCGGACTGAACTATCTCGTAGCGGAAAGAGACGGGGTCGATCCGTTGAAGAACCCTCGGGTTCCAGGGAAACAACAGTCTGTTATCTCCTTCACCAAGAAACTGACTCCTGGGATCAATGTCCGTGGCGGAGACGGCTTTCCGAGCAAAGTGTTCTTCAACGGTGAGGAGTGCTCGCTCCCATATATACTCCCATCGAGCAACAGCCACCAATGGAGGCACGTCTATGCTTTCCTCATGGCATTACCGGTTTTGACTCTCTTGATTCTGTGTGTAGCTGCGGTTAAGCGCCTCGTGGGGGTTAGTGATACAGTGTCTTGATTGTGTTCCGGTATCACTCAAAAACCGGTTAGTTCTTTTTATAGTTTGTCTCACTTGATTCTTTTTATAGGTGCTATGAAGATATGTTACTACGATTCTTGAATTGTTTTCGATTAGAGGCTCGGTAAATCATTAATCATGTATATATACTATTTGTGTTACTCTTTCTCAGTCTTTGTATCCTCCAAACCAGTACCGTATAAGTTTACAGACCGAACCGTACCAGCTCTTACTTAAATTATGTTGATGTAATTCATGGGTTGACTGTTTACGCCCCATATAGTGCTCTGCTTATGCATGATTCCATCCAAACTCGTAAGCTCTCATGATTTTCCCTCTAGTCTATGGTTTTAAGAAGTGACTAAAGAAGTATATATGCACAACCCTATAAATACGAAGTTACAGTGAAATGGAGATCTAAATATCGAATATGGTATCTTGGTTCGGTACTTTATTTTGTTAAATCCTCATCAAATTCTGACTAAGTTTAATCAGACCGAAAGGCCAGACCATCTTCTGTGTTAGTGATGGGTTTAGCACTCCTTCCCAAAAGCCCTTCGTAAATTAAGAAAATGCCTATTTGAAACTTTACATCTGCCTCCAAAATTAGGCTGGTTCAGTAAAATGGAAATATCAGAAGATTTATTCGAATCGCGGAAGAAAAAGAAATTGTATCCCGAGAAAAAAGAAAGTTATCATAATCCGGAAGGAGACGGATTCAGCACAAGGCGGTCCACGACATCTATATAAGGAGAGCCCTCCCCCCTTTCGAAGATCATCCATTCACAACTTCGGACTCGAAACCTATGGCAAACAATACCTTACTGCTTTCAGCTTTGGATCTCGGTTCTTCTCTTAAAATTTTAGGTCGGCGTTCTTTTCCGACGATCTAAGCTTCTGTATTCTTCGAGCTCCGGCTAAATTAATAAAAATTATATCTTTTACCCCCATAATCTTTATATTTTCTTTAAGGGAGATATCCAAATCTTACATTTTGTAAATTATAACTTTTTTTTTTTCAATACCTTTGAGCCTTTAACTATTAAACAAACAAAACTCTCGTTAGTATTGTAAATTAGAGCTTTATAGTAAAAGATTATGCATGACAAGCCAAAATGTTGGATTTATCATTTTAGAATCGTCGCCGTTTTTTGTCACTATGATAACATTAATCATGTAATATGTCATTTTCGATAAAATAATTCTTGTATCTACTTAGTTTTCTTTTTAATTAAGAAAAAATACTGCTAACCCAATCCTTTAAATATAACTTTGTAGTTATAATAATGTAAACCTTATAAGAATAATTTACCAAAATAAAGTTTGAAAAGAATAGAACGATAGAAGTATCATTGAACTAAATCCTAGAAATCGTTAATTGTACCAAAAAAGAAAAGAGAAAAATCTAGGATATTTTTGACATAAGGCTTTCAATCAAAATGCAAGGAAAATAAACAATACATATAACTTTGTGGCCACATAATTTGAGAAAGTTGTTTAAAAAACTAAATAGAACCAAAACAGAGAATTATTTAGGTTTTTAAATTTACACAAAAACGTACATTTTCTAAAGACATGACTTATATGATATTATCAATAATTTATATCATGTTCATGTTTCAAGGATTATACTACTCGTGCTGAAACAGATTGCAAGCGTGGAAAAAGCTGACGTTATAAAGCGATTTGTAACTCATAATCTCAATGATCTCTCCTTTTATGTTGTTATCTTAAGGTTCGAAACAGGTTCAGTGATTGCTTTTTTAATTGGTATACAAAACAATTATCCAAAAGTCATCATCAAAAGCATTAGACCATATATGAACAAAAATCATCGTCGATCATAGAGATGTGTTCCAATCATATATTCCAAGTAGTAAATCTTTGTCTTCGACACTAGTAGACGCTACAAAACACTTACAATTTACTTCATTAGCTAGAAAACACTTTTGCTCAGTGAAATGAAGACCACTTCCTCACTCCAAGTAATTTATTAAAGCCTTCTACTACATGCTTAACACTAAAAGCATAATCACGCTCACAGTTATCCAACATCTGTTCTGATATTTTATTCTTTTGCACCAGAATCGCATTGTGTGCAACAAATGTTATATAATTACATCTTTCTCTTTTCTCTTTACATCTTCTCTTTGCTCTTGCATTTCTAGACAAGGTTTGTGTTTCAACAGCTTGGGTTTCCATATCTGTATCCATATATAATCAATTTCATCCTCATCTTCATCTATCCGAGAAGTACTCCATCATTTTGCTCCAGTCACAGTAATAGCATCAAATTCATCTTCGTACATATCCATATAAGAAATTAACGTGTTTCTATATTTTATATTTGATAGCAGCAGGCCATTCCTATAACAAAATTAAACAAAAAAAAATTAGTCACTAAACGAAACACAATAAACCGGCAACAACAATACAAGAAGCCAAAAACCAAAATACAAATCTGATCAGATGGATGCATTTTAATGACGATTAGCCACTAAACAAAACATAGTAAAGCCAAAATTACTAAACACAGCAAACAAGAAAGGTGAAACATCAAGAGCAATAATACAAGAGACACTGAAACAAAAAAGCCTAATAATCCTCAAGATTATTGTAACTGTCACTTAGGTACAATAAGATATTGAACATGCTCAAAACTGTTAAAAGGGACAGCAAATAAGAAAGGCGAAACATAAGAGCAATAATACAAGAGACGCTGAAACCAATAAGCCTAATAATCCACAAGATTATTGTAACTCTGTCACTTAGCTACGACAAGAGATTGAACATGCTCAAAACTGCTAAGAGAGACAGTAAAGCAACAAAACTGCAACCACTAAACTAAACACAGTAAAACAACAGAGAAGAACAAAAGAGATAATAAAGACTCTAAAGTAGTAGAGTCACGTAAGATCAAACACTAAAAGAGATGAAAGAAAATTTTAATACCTTTAAGCATTCATCTCATCAATCATCAGACATGTCCAATCTTCCTATAGCATCATATCCAACTCCAGTTTTATTGTGTGAGTTAACTTCTTCAATTTTGACATATGTTATTTACTAGAATCATACTTATTCTTAAATTTTTGTCCATGTGAGTCCTTTCCCAAATCTCTTTTCAAATTTCTTTATAATAAAATTTTCAATTCAAATTTTGTTTTGTTGTCTTTCTTTTTCTCACCACAAAAGAGATAGAAAAAAATATCAACATTTGTCTGGTCCAAAAGGGGTGGGCAGAGGTGTGATGACCCAGGTTCTTGACTATTTTTATAGAAAAATTTTGTAAAAAAAACTTAATTTTTTTTTCTTTATTAAATGACCCATTTTTTCTATTTTTTTGGTATCAAATGGCTCAATTTTGTTTTAAAAATTAGAAAAAGTCTAAATTAATTCAAAAACTTATAAAAAAATAAGTCCATATTTTTAAAAGCATATAGAAATATCTAAATATTTTTTTAAAACTTAAAATTT